AAAAAAAAAACAAAGGGGGGAAAACAGGTGACAAAATCATTTCCCTGAGGAAATATTTCCCACATACGACGTTTCGAAGATTGTTTTTTTTTTTTTCTCTCAAGAAGGAAGATATATGTATAAATAATATGATTGGGTGAGAGAGATATAGAAAGGGATCAAAAGTATATATTCGGCGGCACGTGTGACAAGTACACAAAAGTCATCGTGTTTTAACTTTTCACATATTATATTCAAACTATATATATGTGTTTAATTAGATGAAAATTCTTTAATTAGGATTTTCCCGTCTCTTGAATAATTAGAAAGATATATTACTGGATTATTATTATTATTATTATTATTCCATAGAGTTAATTAACTTTTTATCTTCATTATTTACGAGATAAGCCATTTGTCTTTCTAAGAGAAGATGGAAAATATCGTTAACAATTGTAACGAAGTACTGTCTAACGGTTTTAACGTGCTTAGATTTACTTGTCCTAAAACGGATACGTAAGTGATATATATATATATATATATATATCGTTCAAGAAAGAAGATCATCCAATTGTTCATGTTACACTTAATCTTGATTAATGATCCTTGAAAGAGCATTTACCAAAGACCCTAACAGAGAAATGTGATTATCTTATTGCAATTAAAGTCTCTAATAAATATTCATTTGTCTTATATTAAGAACAAGGAACAAATCTAAAAACATAAAAAAAAAAGACAAGAACATCAGAAAAGAAAGAGAGACCTACGATTTAATATCAGAAATAAAAAAGGATCAGGAAACATTTTGATTAATCATTCGGAAGACAATAAATTTGAAAGATTACAACATTGGTGCAAACAAACTTTGGGATTCCATAAAAAGGAAAAAAAAGAAATCCTCCCTCATTATTTACGACAAAAAGAAATATTTTTACGACCGTTATCTTTAATCTACTCCACATTAGTCTATTTTATTGACGGATAACCAGTAAACCGATAAATCAGACCTATCCCGTTTATCTTCATCGAGAGAAATAAGTTTTTTAAAAGCGAAATAAATCGATACTATTTCTTCTCTTATCTGATTTGAAACAATAAAGATTAATCCTAAAAAAGAAATAAAGGAAGAAAGGAACAAAAAAAAGAAGAGTGATTGGATTATTGTTCACCAATGGCAACGTGTACGTAAATCAAACATTATATAAAATATACATTCTTCATTAAAGAAAAAAAAGAAAAAAAAAAGAAAAACAAATATCTCCGTTAAAAATCGACAATTGAAAAAATCTTACAAAATGGAACAACCTACGACGTTAAAAAACATTCCACCACCTTCGCATTTTTAAATTCTATCAACATATCGCACGTAGCTTACACAGAAACAACAGAAATTAATAATAAATAAAAAGGAAGTACGGAAGGATGATTAAAATTGAATAAACGACGGATACACTATTTCTCTTTCCTCTTACACATACAAACAACCTTTGCATTTGAAATCCTATCAACATATCACGCGTAATTTACAGAAAAATAAGAGAAATTAATAATAAATAAAAAAGGGGAAAACAAAATAAGAAGAAATAAATTTCAATAAACGACAAATACTTTTTCTTTCTCTATTTATCTCTCTCTCTCTCTCTCTCTCATTCTCTTAATCCCTTTTTTTTCATCAATTTCTTTTTCACAATTAGAGACGAGTAAAAACTTTATGAGGGTTGTATATGTATCTGTAGTAGTTATATACATATAATACACATATCCCACTTCTTCTTTTATACTATCCTTAGATTTATTTAAACATCTATTATTTTCACCATAAACAAAGTCGCTTTCCACATTTCATTGGTGTTGCGTCATCGTCTCATTCGGTAATTCCGAGAGAGTATTTATATCGATTATTTACGTTAGCGATAGCAACTATGAATGAACGAGGGCTTAACTTCCCGTAAACATCGTGCTTACTATAGTATTCCAAAATTAGATAGAAAAAAAAAAAAGAAAAAATCCAAAGTCCTTGAAGAGCAATAATAAAATATTGAAAATATCTAATAGAAATTTATTATATCGTACAAATAAATATAAATCATTCAAATAATTGGACAAGATCCCCACCCACCCCCAACCCGATTGAAAGAACAAAAAATAATATTTCTTACAAAACGAACATATCAAGAATACCTCAACAACAGCATCACCCAACTTCAACCCCAACACCCAACTACCTCCGCGCAACGAATAATAAGAAATTTCAACAGGGTAACTAACCGTAAAAGAAGTAATCAGCACGTCATCCTTAATCGATAATACGAGTAACAGAAATCGTTCACCTCGCAGAAAGGTGAACTTTCTCGTAGACCCTGGTAACAAAGTTAACTAGAAGTGAAATTGTTTTAAAATATCGTGCTTTGTATTTTTAAATTAAAAAAAAAAACCAAACGAAAAAAGAAAAAGAAAACAAAAGGAGGACACATTAATGAACGATCAATAATCTTGAAATATTTGTCATAATTGTAACAACAACAAGTACAACAAGAAGAAACAACATAATTGTATTCTCGCAACATGTTTTGGAGTACGTCTAATGTAACAACGACAAATTCAAGACCAATTCAAATAACGAGAACGATAAGTGCTCTACCACGTGTACGAAGATCAGTTGATTCTATATTATCATGGACAAACGTAACTAGCGCAAATCTTTCAAACAGGAACATAAGTTTTGATCAACCGATTGAATATGAAGAGGATACTATAACGGAAGATTGCAGTTCTATGGACTTTTTACTTGAATTATTCCACACTTATTACATTCCAGCCATTATCCTATTGGGATTGGTTGGAAATCTCTTATCGTGTTTCGTATTTTTGAATACCCATTTGAAAATGCGCAGCTCGAGTTATTATCTCGCTGCATTGGCTACCGCTGATTTTGGATTCCTGGTTTCGTTACTTTTAGTTTGGTTAAATGACACCTTTGGATTAATGGTTTTCAACAAAGACGGCTGGTGCGAAACCTTGGTATACGTCAGCGCTGTTTGTAGCTCACTCAGCGTTTGGTTGATCGTTGCTTTTACCGTTGAAAGATTCATAGCCGTTCAATATCCGTTACATCGGCCCCATATTTGCACCATAGCACGTGCCAAAGCTATCATTTTAATATTGGTTATACTTGCCTTGGCAAGTCATTCATACGCATTTATTACCGCCGGTGTCGTCAAAGTTCACGATGGTTATGAATTTTGTGGTCTCAAGATAGAACACCTTGAAACAATGAGAATCATCAGTATAATAGATACAATTGCCAGTTTGATAGTACCGCTTGTACTTATAACCGTTATGAATACCATGATAACTAGAAATCTTCTTAGATTCAGTCGAAGATTTAAACAAACACCGAGTGTATCCACCACCTGTCCAAGCAGAGAAAGATCTGAAATCAACCTAAACCAAATTCCGGTGAGTACTGAGTTATTATCTCTTTTAGTAAATTTCCTTTCTTTCGTATTTCTCTTTCATTCTCTCTCTCTCTCTCTTTCTCTCTCTCTTTCGCCAAACATTTACGTAGTTCAAGACAATATCAAGAGTCTGCATGGTTCTATTCTGCATGATATGTTCATAAATACACAATCTTATCTTTTAACATTCTCGTAACGTCTTATACTTAAACACTTAGCACGTATAGTTGTTGTTGGGTATTCATATTTCAACCTGGATTAAAATAAAGAGATATACTTAGTTGAAGAAAAAAAAAAAAAACAAAAACAAAAAAGAATGCAATACTATATTGTTCTCAAATATTCCAGTTTCGTGGAATAATACTGGTATGTACAGTATATACTTATACGTATATATGTGTTTGTTTGGAACATAAACAAACTTTGATACGGCACAGCTGTCCCATAGATATATATGTGATTAAATTTGTGAGAATAATTTATAGAATAACGAATTTGTAACGCGTTTTAATTTGATTTCAATTTTTAAACAAATCAAATGAATAAACGTGGATTTGATGTCATTGTCATTCATAAACTATTCGTTTTATAATCTTATATAAGATTAGTAAAGAAAAGATGAATTCAATGCTGGATTATCTACGAACTTGTCTAACATGCAAAGTAATATATTTCGAATAACGAAAATTCAATTCTATTTCTCGTATACGAACATCCCCTTACTGTTCGTGATATATATATATATATATTGTATTGTAGATTTTTTCGTAAAATAATTTCGTTTTTTCGGCATGGGAATTTGGTTAGTCGCGTTTATCGACATCAAACCAAGATCCTAAACCTCAAAATCATTTTACATTCTAGCAACAAACATTTCAGACGTGATTTAGAACCTTGTTATGTTTCGATCTGTCAAGTAGTTTTTTTTGGCATCGTATCAGAAACGGAAAATCAAAATCAACATTTTCATCATATTTTGTTTTTTTTTTTTTTTTCCCCTTCATTTATCTTTTATTACCGTAAGGATATAAAATTTTATATGCAGTTTAAGCATATTCGCGATTATTAATTTGATTTATTTTTTAATTACATAGATAATCAATTATCTCCAAATTATTTGTTTTTAATTTATCTTATATAACTTTGGACTTTGAATATGAAAAACATAAATCTGAAAATTTATAATAATATTAATAAAAAAAAAAAAAAAAAAAAATTAATCATTACTCTTTGTACTTAAATGAAACGATACTTCATTGAAAAAGAAAAAGAAAAAGAATCATCTTGAATTTGATTCTCTTGATTTATAAGTCGTTATCTTTAGTTATATATGGATCTTTGATGCTATCAAGTGAGTAATTGCTCGATGATCATTGCTTCAAATACTCTCAAGTGGTATCAAATCATCTTCTGCTGTTAGTCGTTCTCAGCTACTCGAATTGATAACATACAAATTGTACAGTTTTCTTTCTGAAGATATTTTTCTCTTCTTTACAAAAGAGAGTTGGTAGAAGATATTCGCGTTTAAAAAAAAATAAAAAAAAAAAGAGAAAAAACATCAAAGAAGATTTTTTATCGATGGAGATCATTGTGATTATTTTAACGATTCTTGCGGTAGCCTTGGGTCTTTATCATTATCGTATACGCGATGTTTCTTATTTCAAAGAAAATCGATTACCTCATGATAGACCGTTACCGATATTCGGCAATCTTGCAGCTTTCTTTTTCCGACGTAAACCAGTCCACCTGATATTGGCAGATATGTATAATAAATATTCTCAAACGAAATATTTCGGATTTTACGATTTCAGAAGTCCGATTATAATTCTACGTGATCCAGAATTAATCAATTCAATTGCTATTAAAAATTTCGACAATTTTACCGATCATACGAGTTTTGTGATAGAACACGAACCGTTACTCGCTAAAAATCTTTTTCAATTACGCGGTGATAATTGGCGAGAAATGAGAAAAATGTTGAGTCCTACGTTTACATCGAGTAAAATGAAGATGATGTTTGGATTGATACAAGAGTGCGCGGATAATTTTGTTCGTCATATAGCGAACAAATCTGTAAACGGTTGGACCACAGAAATGAAAGACATATTTAGTAATTATACGAACGACGTGGTAGCGACTACTGCGTTTGGGATTCGCATCGATTCCATGAAGGATCCAAATAACGAGTTTATTACTCTCGTCAAAAAAGTATTGAACTTCGATAGTATACTTTCGTTGAAATTATTACTAGGCAGAAATTTTCCATGGTTGTTCAAATTATTTCGAATCAAATTGTTCGGCGACAAGGTGCACAATTTTTTTCGCAAAGTTATCATAGACAATATTAAAACTAGACAGGATAATGGTATTAATCGTCCTGACATGATTCAATTGATGATGGAATCGCGAGATAAAATGCAATTAACTTACGATGACATGACGTCACAAGCCTTTTTGTTCTTCCTCGCTGGATCGGATGCTACCTCAACGTTTATGAGTTTCTTTACTTACGAATTAGCATTAAACACGGAAGTTCAAAACAAGTTGAGGGATGAAATAGACGAATGTTTGAAATTAACTAATGGCAAACCTACTTATGATGTTATCATGAATATGAAATATTTGGATGCAGTGATCAATGAAACCTTGAGACTTTACCCATTGACTGTGTTTGTCGATAGATTTTGTTCGAGGAGTTTTGAATTACCACCAGCAATACCAGGAGACAAATCGTTTACCATTAAACCTGGAATGAGCGTTTGGTTTTTGCCCTATGCCATACATCGTGATCCGAAATATTATCCGAATCCCGATAAATTTGATCCAAATCGATTTATCGATGGAAACATTGATCCATTGGTTTACTTTCCTTTCGGTATTGGCCCTAGAATTTGTATTGGTAATAGATACGCCTTAATCATCTGCAAAGTTGTATTTTTTTATTTTGTAGCTAATTGCGAATTTAAAATATCATCTAAAACTCAAATACCAATGAAATATAGTAAAAAAAGTATGGTAATGACGGCTGAAAATGGCTTATGGTTGAAAATTCAAACGCGAAAAGATAAGGATAATTGATTGAGGAAATAATAATAATTACTGAACAAAAAAAATTACCAATTTTCATTGTAATTTAACTTAATGATAATAATTATGTTCTTTTTTAAATAAGAAAAAAATCTCATCAATTTATTCGAAAGAATATTGTTTCTTTTTACACAAAATATCTGACTATCTCCTATTGTAATAATATTTTAAATAAAAAAAAAAAAAGAAAGAATTCTAATTGTATAAAAGAAGTACCTGTAATTTTATATAAGATTCACCTTACACTTCTGTAACTAAAAATAAATGAAAATTTTAACAAACGTTATAAGCATTCTTCTAGCTGCACCGTTCAAAGACTTTGAAGTTTTTAATGCTGCTTCATCGGGAAAGATTTTTTTTTGCTTGTATTGGTGAAACGTTTCTACAGGGATTGGGGTTTGTCGACTATTTTCGAACGATGCGTATAAATATCCCTGACTTATGTAAGCGTTGCCATTCATCTTTACTCAACTCCGAGCATCGACACATTTTAACTTCTTGAGTGTTACTTTTTCATTTATCATTCTTTTTTTTTTTTCTTTATTAATCATATTTTTCTTTTTTTTTTTTAATGATCTGCCAAGATTTTCAAAGGACATTTTAATCGAGAAATTTGATTGAAGCAAAATGACAATTAGTGGGAGGATACGATAAAATGCAAAAATATAAAATGCACATGTAAATCATTGGGAAATAATAAACAATGTTATACGATAGGTGCAATGATATCTTGTAACTGTTCTTTTGTAATTGAATACGTATAACGTTACAAATAAATACGTTTAATTATAAATAACTCTCTCTCTTTCTCTATCTATCTATCTCTCTTTGGAAATGTGTCGCATTAAATGAATATTTTTCGTACCAGTGGTTCAGATTAAAATCAGAAAAAGAATTTCTTCGAAATAATATAACGCGTAGGTTTTACAATCGTTGATATTCCAGGATAATATATATATTTATAACACCCTATTGTGTTTATTACGAGCTTTAAATGTCATAAGGTATGACAGTAGAGATAATTAAAAAAAAACTAACGAATTTCATGATTCTCAATGGAAACGATCAATTTAGAAAAAGAAAAACAAAATTGTTTTAATATTTATATTCCTACCCGATTATAGTTAGCTCTAAGGTTTATATGAAACAATTACACGATAAAATACGTCAAATAAATACGAAAAGTTTAGTGTGCATCACGAAGTATTTACAAAAATAATACAATTCTACGTGGGAGATTTTTTACGCTTCTTAATGAATAAAGTTAATTAATATGAATTTATCTTATTTTTATAAAATCAAATTTTATTTTCATATATATATATATATATCATTTGTCTCCGTATAACAATATTACTAAAATAAATTAACCGAGATTTGTTCGAACTCTAAACGCAATCAATCATGCGTGAAACGTTCGTCAACCATTATGAACATTTTTGGATAATTTCTTATTTTTCAAAACAACCATTTGTCATTAAATACGTAACTATATATATATATATTTTTATTATACGATTTTATAACGATCTGTATTTTAAAATTCAATATATTCGGTTCAGTTCTCTTTATCGATTAAAACACGAATATATCGAAGTCCAGTTACTTCGTTATAGTTACGAATACGAAACCATGTATCCTGTATTTTTTATTTATTTTTTTTTTCCTTTATTTTTAACGACATATCGCCTGCCACTTTTTCATTTTCTTTTTTATACGCGAACATTGAATATTTTGTCGTCATATTAATAAAAAAAAGACAAATGCATGAATAAAATAGTAATATAGTTTGAAAAATCAATCAAGATAGAGAGAGTAAGCCCCTTAACCTTTGATTGTGATCGATTTACTGAAATTAATAGTATAACAACAGACCTAGTCTGGTTTAAATCATTTAGTATTCAGTGTCAAGGCTGTGTATGCATGATCAAGCTGTTTACCATGATATGATGCCCTGTTTACCGATAGTTACTAAAATACAAATGATCTATAACAACAAGTGAAATAAAGTATATATGAAATTATTATCTGATAATATTTAGTACTATTTCTATTTATCTCAAAGGGTTTAATAAAAATGTAAGATATATATAATGAGACAGAAATCAATGAAATAATAAAAGATACGCGCACAATCAAACAAATGTTTTATATAATACAAATGCAAATACGTATATCTACTTGAAGTTGAATAATAATTACATTTTAAGTTGTTATCATGATCATTTATGAACTATTTTATTAATATTATTTTCCCTTTGTGAGATATTTAGTAATTTAAATGAATACGCATTTCCTTTGTATATATCTATTTCTATTCTAATATTAAATAGATGAGAGGGTATGCATTACAAAACTTTTGTTGATTCTATTATATAATGAAACAACAATAAAAATGAAAATACACAACTATTGTAGCAAATGTAATATGCATGAAATAATAACTAAACTAAAATTAAAACATATTGCAATCGAAAAAACGAATGAAAATAAATTATCGACATTTCATCAGAAGATAATGTTTATCTAAACGAGAATACTTGCGCAAAAGATACGCAACCAATTTGTATAGTATCGAAAGCTGATTGGCACCCTGAGAAGTTTTCTATTAATCATAGGATACTAGCAATACTCTCTCAGTTAATCTTTCAACATATAGGATAGACAAGATCCAGCTATTCGTTAACAATAAATACATTTTTCATTGTGACAAAGATATATATATCACTTTGACTGTAACTCTACTAACGAATAATATCAATTTTAATTAAGACGACATGATAGAAAAATAATATTATAGAAAAGAGCTTATAGCTTATTTCTACTCTATTCTACTTACAAATATAATACATATTTATTATTTTACGATTAATAATAATATCAATATAAAAACTGATGATATTCTTAGTAAAATAAAGATTCATTCGTCCAATTTATCCCATTTGTCGAATGAAGATTTTTTTTTAATGAAATACGTGACACTATTTGGACCCATCAGATTTACGATCTACGATATTATATTGGAAACTATTATAAACATTTTTCTAATTTAATCGGAGTAAATAATGGTCCTTTAATAAACATGTTTTAATAATTATATCTACGAGAGAGAAAAAAGAAAAACATTTCAATTAAAACAAATAATTCGTAAATTAATCTATCTCTCTCTATAGATACACGAACAATATTTCTAAAGATCGTATCACATAAATAAACCTAAAATTATTATCTATATATAATAGAAAATGATTTTGTTAGTTCGTAAATGTCGTAACGTTCGTAAATCAATGTTTTTTAGCTTGTAACACGTAATCATACCTAAATAGAATATCGTTGATGATCGTGCTCGTAGACCAAAATTCATCCTATTTAAAATATTTTACAGAGTGGCAGTAGCAGTAACAAAGATGCTGGTGGTATTAATATGGGTACAACTATTGGAGGACGTAGACCACCATCTCAACAATCTTTTCATTCTTCGAAGACCAATCATTCGCAAAATTCAAGGCATCAACCTACATCGATTGCATTACCACCGTCTACACCAAGAAATGCTTGCAAGTTACCAGAAATAGAAGCCCGATGTATACGTGAGTTTAACTACTTTTACTTAATGTTATCGATAAATGATTTCGTTATATTTGTAAACGCGTTTTCCTACAAATTTTTCAATTTATTTATACACGGTCAATAATCTTTTTTACGTTGACATTTCATTTCGCTCGCGGTCGAAATATTTATTCTATACGAGTGATATTTAAAGCGAAAAATTTTTCAACATTTGTTAAAGATAAAATGTATTATGTAAAATTTAAAACCCGAGTCAATTCATTGTCTTAAAATTTAGTACCAACACATTAACGACGAACAAAATTTATTTCAGTTTTTTCTGCATTTTCATTACTCTTCCTCTTCCTTTTCGGATTTCTTTTTTTATTTTTCAAGATTTTATTTACACGAGATTTTTAACAAACCAAAACCGCATGAAACGAATAATCTACATTATTCAAAAAAAAACCGAATGCGCGTGGTTAAATTTCTTTCGGGGAAAAAAAGAAAAATAAAAGAAATAAAAAAAAAAAAAACGAATAATTTAATTTTAAAAAAAATTACAAAATAAAAATGTTTTTTTTTTTTTCGGTTTTTTTTTGTGTGTTAAATCTAATCGTAACGACATTCTTTTATCTTTCAGACGTACGATCGTCTTCGCGAAATCTCGCATCCACCAGAAATCAACAAAGTATTACAAAAATGCTTTTACTAATCAGCACGGTTTTTATCATTCTCAATTCTCCAAGGTATGTGAATAAAACTCTCTACTTTTATATATCTTTTCTAAAATAATATTTATACAATTGTCAATTAATTAAACAATAGTACAGAGAAAAATGGTAGAATTTAAATTCAAATTTAACGCAATGTAACATTCCTCCTTTATTCTTTAAAATCATATATCAAATATTTCTAACCAAAACGATAATTAAATATTACTATCACGACTAATTGGATAATTAATACATAATGGAAAAATAT